ATTGTAATGTAGAAAACACTAGATTTTCACTTTGATCATCTGCTGGGTGTTGTTTGCTGTATCACTATTAAAGAAGGTAATTCTCACTGAATTTGAGAATAAGAGTAGTGAATGGCATACTGAATGAAGATTAAGATTTGAATGTAAATCTCAGCATGCGTTTGTTACGTAAACAAAGAGTTTCTGATACGGAATTATTGTCTCTCAGCACTGGAAGGACTCTTCCAAGGAGAATGTAAATAAACATTTTTTAGGGTCCATATCATTATCTAAGGTGTTTGTTGTAAACTCACAATTAAGTATCTTTTCTTTTGTAATACATATTACATGTATTACAAAATGATGACATGATATTTTATGTAACTAACTAACACAGTTTATACTTAAATCGCATATGCCTTAATCTAAAATTTCATTTTTCAACCTGAGAACATCTATATTGTATCTACAGACAAATCCCTTCACATAAAATGTTGGTTATGTGTTACTGCATATTCAACTAAAAAAACGTTCCTTTTTTTCTTTTTTTTTTTACCAGGGTATTTATGTCCTTCAAGACAATAAGTTCCGTCTCTTGACGCAAATGTCTGCAGGAAAGCAGTATTTAGAACATGCACCAAAGGTATCCTTCAGTCTTCTTGGGATATGCCAGTTTGATTTGAATTACCTTGATCTATTGATAATAACTTAAAATTCTGTGATTGGATGGTTACCAACTCTTCAAAAGGGCAGCTGAAGTTTAGTCTCCAAAACCTGTGCTTTTTAGATATCCACCTTGTTTCGGATCAGTGGATTTGATTTATCTTCAAGAAACAGTCGTAGTCATGAAATTTCCTGTTGTTGTGTTTGAGTTACGGGACGGTAGGAACTGGTCTGCCACTATCCTGCTGCTGTCACACAGATTTTTCTTTCTCTTTGGAAAGCACGTGCTTTTAGAAACTTTTTTAAATTTTTCAAAACATATGTGGAAGATGCTATTGGGTACCTAGAACAAGCTTCTGAGATGATACGAACATTCAGAAAAGGCCTTCCACCAATAAAAAATGGGTTTGAGTGTAGGTGCTGAGTGAGGGTAATAGTTTAGGTAATTAAAATCAGTGCCTTTGCAGAACCTCTTACAAAGCACTTTGGTTGAGGTGGATGTAAGAAATGGGACATTCAGTTCCATTTTATGGTGTCTTAATTCTTGATCTTCTTAGTCATCACAGTTGCAGGCTACTGTCCTTGGGATGTTTTGGTGTTTGGTGAGATGTCTTCTGCTTTGCAACACCTATTCTAAATACCTGCAGGCCCTTTTATTCTAAGATGCAGCCTGTGCAAAAATGCTGTCTTGAACTGGTTTTCCTTTGTTGACCTTAATACCCCTTGCTAATTTCAGTGAAGTCTTGGGAAGAATTGTTTTAAGGATATTAAGTTCCTACAGGTTTAGTGGAAATAGTAACAAGTGTCTCAAGATAGTGCCTCTAACAAGAGAAAGCTGTATCGTGCGCTCCACTATACCAAATACTGGAGCTTTCATCTATGGGAAACACAACGAAGTCTCTCAAGCACTGTAACAGAACCTCCATAGTTTTATATTGCCCAAGTGTTCCATCTTGTTCTTGAGTACTTAGTTTCAATCTTTAGCAACAAGCTTCACCCTTGACACTTACTTAAAGTGCAACTTTGTGTTTAGTATTTAGCATTTACCTGTGGACTAATCAGAGGAGGCCTATCAAATTTGGGAATAAAGAGTATTGTAACAGCTGAAGTTTCATCAATGCCTGCATGTAAGTAGTTCTCGGAGCATTCAGTTATTAGCTCACTTGGTAACTTTTCTAACGGACTTCTTCACTGTGTGAGCATTTTTCAAGGTGGGTCTAGTTTGAAGCTGGGCCACAGGGGTCAGTATGAACTTCAGGTATGGCTTGTCACTAAGTGCTTTAGTGTTTAGAAAATACTGACAGAGGGTGAACCTCCACGAGACTGAGTAGAAAACAAAACTAAGATGTCGTATTTAAATTTGGAAGCATCAGGTGCGTAAGGATATACATCCAGAACACTATTTGAACGAGTGAAGATAAAAACACCTAGCTACATACTCTCTCTACAGAAGCCATTAAGAAAGTAAGTGGAGTCTGCTGTAACTACTTTAAGCAGCTTGGGTAGATTTAAAAGTTTCCACAGACTTTGCACAAATTTTAAACTTAGCTGTACCGAACTGTTGTGATGTGGGACATGGATCACTTAAAGGGAAAAAAAGGTAAAGAAAAAGCTGTTCAGCTAGAGTTAGTTTAAATGTTAAATTTAATTAATGGCTATATTGTTAACAATCAAAGAGTAAGATTGATACTATTCCTTATAACAAAACAATTACAAGAAAATAATAACTTGGAAAAATAACTCCAATGGTAATACTCTGACCTGCTTTTGCATTGCAGGTAAATTTCAGGTGATGATACAGAAGATGTAGAGCCCATTCAAATCTGGGTATCCACCTTAAAAACTTTCTGTTGTGGATTCAGTCTCTTAGTCCAGCTTTGTACATAGCTTGTAAATTACAGCACTGTGCAGCGCAATTCCAAAATATATAATAAATGTTCGTCAAATAACTTAACACTACCCTCGTATCTTGGTATGAAATGTACTCTACACCAAGGCATTAATGTCCATGTGGTAAAAACTGGCTACTCATTTCAGCAAAATATTTCCGTTACTAAATCAGCACATACGGAAGACTGGAAGCACGTTTTGAGAACAGAGTAAAAGTCCGGCGAAGACTAAACTGGAAAAAGAAACTAACGTGTTTTGCATGACCTAACAGAGCTGCCCAACTGCTGCCCTTCCCTGCTCACTCTGAGCTGGGAGGCAGCAACTGCATTTGTATTATCCTGAGGAAGCTATGATCACGTGAACCAACAGCCTTCATTAACGCTGCTCAGTGAAGGCTTAGTTCCTTTGTAGGAATGATACAGGACAGGAGAAAAGAGAACTTACTTCTGCATAGTTAACACTGTTTCTCCTACCTCCCCTAAAATTAGCAGCTGGTTCTTGTGTCAGAATAATTGTACAGCTACAGTCATCTATACCGGCCAAAGAAAGAAATTTGGTTTAGCTTGTTCTGCATAAGCTCAGTATTAATGTAATTGTTTCGAATTGCTAGCTACAACTCATTTCTGTAATGAATGTGTGCAGGAAGATGATCAGGCCTGCAAGAAGCTATAAAGACATCACCAAGACTCTGGAGGATGTTGGGGTTTGCTAGGTACCACTTGTCACAAGATTTGCATAACAGTATCTTACTGTAGGTAAGCATGAAAACATGTTCAAATTTCTAATGAATTTTGCTGCAAGACTTTTCTGTTGGTGGGTTCAGGCCTCGTACTTCCAAAGGAATCACAATGGAAACTTAGAGCCTTTATTCAGAAGTGTGAACAGGGATTCACAATAGCCTTAGGATCACAATAGCCGTGTGACAAGGATTGAGTTTCTACTGTGAGACCAGTAGAACAGGTGAACTAGAAAAGCTAACGTGTCAAAATAGCACCTTTGATTGTGCTGGTTGAGTAACTACCTTCTGTGTTGGGAGAAGTGCATGTTGTCCAGTTACACGGTGGGCAGGAACAGTGGAAGCTGTTCTTGCCAAAGCTCTAGGGACAATCTGAAGTTTGTGAGGGATCAGGCCTTTTCTAGATAGCTGTTACAAGCTATAGCTTATAAATGTGATAACCAGGGGTTTATTATACTTGCACTTAGGACCAAATTCTGATCTTTTCAGGTATTGTGAATGCCACTTCAGATTAGTTGTAGCTCAAAGACAGTTCTAAGAAACATCTAGAGCAGAACGCAGAATTAGCAGAACGCTGTCCCGCTGCTCATAGAATTAGCAACGATGACAGTAACTACAGCAGTATGGTACTCGGTGGGGATCAGCTGTTTGGCTGATTGAAAAAGCTGCGTTCTTACACTGGCAGTTTGTAGGAAGGCTGTGGTGGGTGTTCATCTTTACAACTTGGATTTGTTTGAAATCGTAGACCTAGAGAATTAGCTAACTAGTATTCTGGCATTTCATGGGCTCTTCAGTTGCCAACGCATCCTGCTTTCAACATGCTGAAGATGTTACTAAAGAGATTAGAAATAACTTGCACTGTATGGACACTTTGATGTCATCACAGTGTAGGCATCTGTATGCAAATAACAGTGATTCTGTGTATGTATCTCCACAACAAAAACTCTAGTAGTTACTGTAATTCACTGTAGTTTTTCACTTGACAGTTAAGACTGCCATTCCACAAGCAAAAGTGCTAATTGTTCAAAGACATGCTGAAGGTTTATCAATAATTGGTTGTGAGTAGCGATTATTTTTAGTAATGAGGGGAGGGTCTTAAAATCTACAATATACAGAAAGCAGATGTCAGTTAATACTGTGTATCAATTTGCTGCTTCAGCAGAACTCACAGTTTCTTTAACACAGATTTTTAGTATAGATTTTTGTTGAAGGTAGGTAGAATCAGAGGGAGTCATGTACGTACCAGGCAGATGCTCATACTCACGGCGAAGCACCCCACGTGAAATATGTAAATAGGTGAGCTAATGTATTTGTCAAGATACCATACAGAAAGTAAATTTGTTCATTGTGTTTAATGAATGCTTCTATTAAAAGTAATTTTCACTAGTTTATGCAGTTATTTACAGAAAAATAGAAGTGTTACTTCCTGAGTAGTGATACCTGTTTTACTAAACTAATTATTTCAGTATCTTAGTGTCTACAGTTGAACTGCTTAGCAGTGCTTCACCTCAGGAACCAGAGTTTAGAAGAACACATTGAGTCCTCGTTGTGTACATTTCTCTGGTAAGGCTGCTGTTGAACAGTCAGAAGAATGAGAAAAGCCACAACGTTTTAAGAACACTCTTTAAAATACTTCAGTTTTATTAAAAACGCCCTCAACAGGCATGTGTTAAGTAAAGAACAATTATTTGTAACGTAACCTCAGACTTCACCTAATAGCAGTGTCCACACTCAGAGGGTAGAAACTTGTAACTGAAAACATAGTTTGCAGAGACAGTAGCTTGAGAGGTGATGCCAGACGGTTCACTGACCATTTTACGATGATATCGGAGACATTGACCATCCCGTGCTACAGCTCAGCTAAGTTATTCACAGCTGTCCCCAGTGCATTATCACAAGGGAGTTCTGAAGGGATTATAGTACTTGGTCAGAACAGTGCGGTGTCTTGCTGTTAACCGATAATGTTGTTTGTACCACGGCAACGCAAACTACCTGATATTCTCAGAACAGCCTAGGAAGGCTCATCAGCCAAGTCACGCTGATCGAAGTACCTAGTGGAGAGAAGTGGAACACAGTAAGAAGCCACATACTCCTTTTACTTTGCTCTGAGCTGTTAGACCCCTTGCTTTCTAGCGCTTCTTTTAGTGTCTCTCATTATAACTTGGCAGTTCAGGCGGCTCACCTGAGGAAACCAATAGGCTTACTTTACTCTTAGGTTTATCTTAAGTCGTTTTTAACTTAGTGTATTTGCTACATAGGCCCAGCGTACTTTAACTGACTTCCACTTTAAAGGAATCTAGGTTAGGACAAGAGTGATCACACACTTACTCTAGACATACTTGACTGTTTTAAGTGTGTAAGTCACATTACCTGCTAACTAAGCAGATTATCAAGTTCAGAGCTGATATTTGTTCTTCATTCTTGTTCTCCTGAACGAAAAATAAATATTAGAACAGTTCTTTTGTTACCTGTGTCGCATAGAAAAGCTGTTATGTGCCACGTTCTGCGCTTGTCGCCTTACCTTCACTCTCTGCTTGAGAATGAAATCATGAAAAGTCATTTTCAAGATTTCAAGAACTGAAAAATCACCCTCCTAATAATTTACTAAGTTCAACAGGTCCTTTGCACAGTGTTCTATTACCTCTAGTACTCTGACTTCCGAGCATCGTCTTGCAAGCTGTCGAATAAGGGAGTGAGCTTCAGGTAGTAAAGGTTTTTCAAGGCATGCCAACAGTGCATAAAGCCATCTACCCTGTGTGGATTCAAATAACCAAGTTTTAATTCTGAGCATTTCTGTTTTTTGTTATATAGAGCAGGAGTGTAGGTCTTAAAACCTTGACTGAATTTTCTGCCTCTACATAAGCTTCTTGTGAGCAGTACTTCGGGATTTCCTGCTATTTTTTCCAATACTGGCCAATATATAAATCAATACAGCTTACACGATTATTGAGGGAAGGATTATTTTAGTAATATCTAAAGATTATTACTTAGCTATTAATTTTTAACTTCAGGAATGTTTTTCCACAGATTGTGAAGAGTGAATGTATCAAGTCAGATCTCTGTGGAATTAATACTTTTAGATCAGCTTTAAGATTTGCACCACTGTGAAAACACGTCCTTTGCATTTTACTTCACTGATTTCTACAGCATTCTTACAGACATAACTTCTTCTGCTACCAGACCGACTTCTTCGTGTAATTCCCACGTCTAGTGGCTTTCATGATGGGAATAAACTAAAAGTCAATGTGCTTAAACTGGTCAGAACCAAAGCTGCTGCAGTCTGACCCTATTCCTTCCCCAGCGCTGATAATTGTCTAACCTTGTGGTTTAAGTTAGTGTGGGGAGGACAAAAAGGGGAGCGGGTTCCGGCACTACTTGATAGATCTGTATCTCTTATGTTTTGGAACTAGCCTTCCAAAAAGTCCTGTGAACACTAGTTTTAGTATCTAATCAAGAAAGTCTTGTGAGTAACTGAAATGATACATGCACCTAGAGAACTCTTTAGGAACTAAAATAATTTCACAGAAAACTATGAACAATTTTTCCCTTGTTTAATGTGTTCACGTGCAAGTAGTTAGAATAAAATAAAAATTACCAGTTCTGGAGTAAATTTTTTCTCTCCAAACCAGCTTATCAGGTATTCTAAGACGCTGGTTACTGTTGCCTTCAAAAGAGGAACAGAAAGAGACAATACAATACCTGCATTGTTTTGTTTTGCTGTCCTTCTACCCAAAAGGTTATATAAAAAGCAATGTAACCTTTTTAAATATACACATTACATACTTCTACTCCGCTGTGATTCTGTATGGTATTTATTCCATGTTGAAATTACATGTAAGAGTAAAGTAAATGTTAAAGCAGCAGTTCTGGAGAGAACTCTATATAAAATGAAGTAATTTTCTGTGTTAAAGTTAAGGATAAGTAGCTACAGATTGGGAAAGAGGCATCACACCAACTGGTTGCTTCTGTATAAAGGTGACTAGTGGGAAACTGTACCAGAGGCAAGGTAAATGTGATTGTTCTGCTCTTGCAGCACATGTAAGAGGTAACAGTCAAGTTGAAGGACGGCACTCACAGCACTAAATGAGAAATCTAAAAACACCGCATGGGGCATTCAGCAAAAATCCAAACATTACAACTATAGAGAAATTACAGGGACAAAATACTCTTAAAACTGGTGATGATAAACCATTCGCTAGTTCAGTTGTTTGTAGCTGAAGGTGAGATAACAATTACGTGTGTTCTTTACAAGTGTACCATGCACAGCAGTCCACATAATAAACAATCGTCGCCTCTAGCACCGAAAAATGGGTCAAGCTTCTGCAGCAGACGGAACATGGGAAGTAACGGCTTACGCAATGCCACTACGTGTTCCAGGAGGTGGGCTTACCTGATTCATTCTGCTTACAATACTCAGCAAAGGAGGAAAGCCCACCTGAAAAAAATCAAGTTGATAATGTTTCCGCATTTTGCAATCACTATTTTTGTTCTGATTTAGAACATAGTAACATTTTAATGGGATTCTTGGACATTTGTAGTGATTTGAAAGTCTGTTCTGAGCTTTGAAATCTGTTAACAAAAATATTCAAACAAGTTCAAGATTAAGGTCCAGTAGAACCTTACTTTTACTCTTCCTTGTTGAAGTTTTGTTTTTTTCAGAATGGTGCAGTGAAGGGCATGTTTGTAGGGCAGCGCGTATGAGGAGAGGAACCACATTATCACCATTTAACAAAACATTGAAGCAGACTACACAGAAAGCTTTCCGTCCGGTTCAGGGAACAACAAAGTACTTTTCTGTAGCCGATAACAGGAGGGAAACTCCTTAACTTTTTGACTGAAGGAAAAGACTTGTTCTCTGCTTCACTCAGTTTCCACTTAAAAGGGAAGAAAAATGGGACTTTCTGGGCTCTCCTATTAAACACAGAGTGGTAATAAATAGTAGGAGTGTTTCTAGCAGTTACTCTTGAAAGCAGCTGAAAATTAGGTAGAAGTCCTGTACTCACCTTTATGTAATCAATTCCTAGGTTTTCACTGTCAGACGGTGCATCTATTTCTGAGTATACTCTTTCACCCAGACAGAACTTCTTCCAGCCTTCTTCATCCTCTGATTTTGGCTGAAGTAAATGAAAATTGTGAAACATTGCTATCTTGAAGGCAGTGAAGACAAGACTTGATAATATTCACAAGCTGTTGCATTAAACTGTAAAGCAAGATTAACCGTGGATTTAATGTCTGGGAAAATAAACCACACAGCACTGTTACGAATTCTACTCACCATAGCAACATTGCTGTCCAAATGTAGGGACCGCCAGTGATTCCTGTGCTTGTTCAGGCTCTGAGTAATTAAAACAAAGCCAAATCACCTTGCAGTTATTTTATCCTAGCCATAATTGCTCTACATTATCCTTAAAATGTAGAAAAAGGTGTGTTTTATGATGTTCTGTAAATCAGCATAACTGGCTAAATATTTTCCGCACCTCAATGTAAATGTAACTAAGTTGGTCATGCTGGGTTTTTGGAGGTTATGTTAAGGCTGAAGGGATGATAAAGTCTACTACATAAAGTTGAGGCAATAAGCTTTAATAGTCTTCTAGACTTTTCTTACAAGCGTAAGAAACAAAATGTATTTTGTCCAAAAGCACACATAAAGCCGATACCCTGTTTCCAACAGTGGCCTGTGTCGGAACCGTTAGAAAGAAGGCAAGCATGCTTTCCTGGTACGTTTCTTCTACCTGGCAGGGATGACAAATGGGCCTGCTTGACAATTTCCTTTAGAGGTGTAAACTTCTTGTGACAGAAGAAAGTCCAGTTGTTGTTGCAGCAGTAAAAATGACCCCTGAAACCACTGTAAGTAACAGCAGCTGATGCATATTGTTTGAACATGTGACTTCTGATGCTCTTTATTCTCTCAAGTGTTTTTCAGGCTGTTCTCATACTTCACAGTGTTAATTCTGGCACAGATGAGAGGACAGTGAATATGCCTTTAGACTTCAGTTTCCTTAGTTCTACTAAAACCTTCAGATTATGCCCAATATACAGTATGCAGTGTGACTCCTTGTAGAAGCAGGGGCTGGCTCAGTTCATGTTTGCTGTGTAGGTGCAGTAATACAGATCTCTGCCTTCACTGATGTACCTGCCTGAAAGAACAGGGTGGGTGAGCTCATGCAGAGTTCAGTGCTACAGCAGCTTCAGTGCAGCTGTTTACACTTCACTTACATGAGGTATTCCTACAAAGCAGTATCAGTGCGTTGCAAGCACGCCTTCCGCCGTACTGGAGTCATAAGTGATTTCCACCTACATCTCTGTTTTGCATTTCACCCTGTCTGAATTGTGGATGGAGCACTCAATTCTCTGTTTTTGTTCTGTTATTTAAGGGCAGGGTGCGGTAGGAAAGATAAACCTCACAAATACATTTTACCAAACCAGTATTTCCCTTCATAATGGTTGCTACACAGTATATACTCAGTTCTTTTTCAGGAACTTACACCACTTGCCTACAAACATCTGTCCTCCTATCACGCCACAGCATTTCTACAGTAGGTATGAGGTTGTCCCCCATAAAGCACAGACGTGTTCTGTCTAGACGGTGCAAGTCCCCTCACACACACCACTTTGTACCTGACGGACGGCTGAGAAATTGGCCACTTGCTGCTGCTGCCACTTGAGCGTCGGAGAGTATCCTTCAGGAGCAGGCTGACATCCGGAAATCTAGGAAAACACTGGCAATAATTATAATGTAAAGAAAGCTTCATAAGAATGATCCTTAAGAACAAGAGAATCAGGAAATGTTTACTACCAGGTAAACAATATCCTTTACATCTTCATTTAAGAGAGGTAACTTCATGACCACATCGAAGACTGACAGCAGTTGGTTTAGACAAGCTTTCTTCTGTTTGACTCTTCTCATATGCAAATAAGAATGAAAATCAAGTATTCAAAATGCATCATCAAATAATTACTTAAGGTCTTCTCTTTAGCAATTGTTCTGCTTTGATGTCCCTATTTATAAAAAGCGGGGTGCCTTATCCTTATCTTGGACAGATGTTATGTATCTTGGGTGTTCTACCTGCCAAGACAGTAAGTCGAGGAAGACAGAAGACCACAAAAATACCTTTTAGGAAGTGAATTCCGACTGTTAAGTAGACATAACCTTTTTAAAGATTAGCATGAAAGAGTTACCTAAAGGAAAAAAAAAAAATATCTGTCTACAGATGTTTAAGAATGCCACTACAAAGAGATGGGACAAATGAAGAGAGCGGTCACAGCAGTACATGGCTATGTGTCAGTACTAGAAACTTGTCTTGAGCAATCTAGGACTGGAACTTCAGATGACATGGTTTGGAGAAAGGCAGACTTGGTCTCTTGAAGTATCCGAAAGCAGATTAAAAAACAAGCTGTCAGGGGAACGTGACAACATCTGCTTGGGCAGTAAGGAAACACTCCAAGAAAATACTCCACCAGAAAGGAAAAATGTACTTCAGTTAACTTCACCTACCCTTAACCCTAAAGCTAAATATAGGTATGGAGGTACCTTTCTTCTAAAGTTTATCCAGGTTTTATGATTAAATATTTGTAAAATTTAATCATAGAATGGTTTGTGTTGGAAGGGAGCTTAAAGACCATCTAGTTCCAACCCCCCTGCCATGGGCAGGGACACCTTCCACTAGACCAGGTTGCTCAAAGCCTCATCCAGCCTGGCCTTGAACACTTCCAGGGATGGGCCATCCACAGCTTCTCTGGGCAACCTGTGCCAGTGCCTCTCCACTCAGACAGTAAAATAGCTTGCTGTGCATCAAATGTTATGGACATTATAAATTTAAATCAGTTACAAAGACTGTTGTTAGCCAGCAGGTGAACAGGTGTTTCTTCAAAGCCAGGCATTCTGTTTAATTCTGCAGATGCTGTTAAAATCCAGCAGGGCTATTGCTCAGTTATGCCAACCGCTCCCCAAAATCGGTCCAATCATCATGAGATTAACATCTTGATTCTTAATTTTTCTGTCTCAAAACAAATGGGGTAAAAGCTCTCAAACTTACCGAAATGTTTACTGTCTGCTTCTTTCTCAATTTTTTGGGGTCTATTTGTGCCACGACCACATCTGGGCACCGAGCTGCTTCAATCCTACAAAGCAAAATCAAGTGGCTGCGTTTTTCCTTTTCTAACGGTTCTCTGAATTACCGCACCGGGGGAGATCTCTGCGGTGCCTACGGCACTGGTGACACCGGCAAGCCTTACAGGAGGTGTGGTGTGACCTCTGAGGTACAGAACACGTATGGCGAGTTCCTACATGACCTGCTGCTTCCCAACTTGCCGGAGGCGCGGCTACGCTTCCCGCAGCGACACCACCTCGGGAGGCCACCGCGGCGGGCACGGAGGGCCCACGGCCGGACCTGCCTCCTTCTGTGGGCAACGGAGCAGCGCCGGCCCTCGGAGTGCGGATCGGTGCGGGGCAGCAGCCCCGCTCGTGGGTTC